GTGTGTGTGTGTGTGTGTGCGTGTTTGTGTGTGCGTGCGCGAGCGCGCGCGTGTGTGTGTGTGTGTGTGCGTGTTTGTGTGTGTGTGTGCGCGAGCGCACGCGCGCGCGCGCGAGCCTGTGTGTGTATGTTGAGTGTTGTAGGTAGGCTTGTAGGGTTGCCTCCCTTCTATCACTCTTGCCAATGCGTGGGGCACAGGATCCTTCTCTCTTGCATCCTTTGCTTCCTGATAATAAATCGAAACATGCTTTGATGACAAATGTTTTGTTATTGTTGTCGATGTGTTATTGTATTCCAAAACATTTTTACAAATCATGCAAACAACAGTACTGTGCTTTTTTGCTTATAAAAAAGTCCAAATTTAGAGATTGACGTCCAGACATGATGCCTCCTTGATCCATGAATCATGAATCTACATGTATCTGCGCCTAGGGCACGCCAAATTCAAATGGTGAAAAATACAACATAAGTAAACAAAACTCACAAAAATTAATTTCACTTGGTAATCGGGCATTAAATTGCGTTCATCGCATGATCACGAAAATCATATTATTTCTTAAATTACGCCAATATTTAAGAAATTTTTGGAATGTATTTTTAACTCCGCCTCGGCCAACATCAAAGAAGCCGCCTTATGCGCCGGATCAGTCCCGTCCTGGTGCGGTGTCTGTTTTGAAGCGAAAAACTCGACTGAGGGTCAGGAAAACCCTAGGCCTATCCCACGACAGGACTGTAATAGTGCGGTAGTATAGAGTTTTGACTTCTATGCACCCCGGCAGATAAACCGCTATCACAAAATGATCGCCGTTTACGAGGTCACCAGGTCGGGGGTAGAGAGCAGCCTAACTAAATAAAGATACTTTTGTGTATTACTAGCCCAAAGTACACCAGGGGTCAAATTCTGTATTAAAATTTTACGAGGAGTGTGTTTCTTGCCAGCAACCAGGGGCGGCTCGTGGTTTGTAGAACTCATCGGCTGGTCTAGCACATCGATTCCCTTTTCTCACCTCCTCCCT